CGAAAACGCAGTGCACCAAAGCAAAACACAAAACACGTACGGCTGTTTCTGTTTCACCCTCGCCTCCTCCACCCCCAACTGCTGTACTTTGCGCCGGGGAGACGCTGCTTCTGAGGTCTGCACTCTCGCTCATGTTCCTCAAGCTATGTGACCGAAAGGAGTTCTGTGGAGGTACCTAGTTCTAGTTCTGTGATCGCCTTCAAGCTTTTTGTGGCTGTGGGGCAGGTGGGGTCTTCGGCGCAATCCTGACGTCATACCTCCGAGGGTACTACTGTACAGAACTTTTCGGTAGGGTACTGGGAGAGTTACAGAACTGTTTGTCGGTAGGGTACTGGGAGAGTACCGAACTTTCTGTAGAATTTCTGTATGAACTGGGGTCTCACAGAACTTTTCGGTAGGGTACTGGGAGAATACAGAACGTTCTGTGAAATCTCTGTAGGGTACTGGGCGAGTACCGAATGTTCTGTGAAATATCTGTAGGGTACTGGGAGAGTACCGAACAGTCTGTAAAATCTCGGTAGATACTGGGGAGAGTACCGAACTACCTGTGAAATCTCTGTAGGGTACTGGGGTCTGACAGATCTTCTTTGTAGTGATCTGTCGGTACTTACAGAGGGAAAATACCGCCGGTACCGATCTGTGAGTACCCTACAGAACGGACCTGTGGAATATTTCATCTATGCCAGATTCTTTCGCTGGCATGATACAGGGCAACCGGCGTTATTCGACCGGCGTGATAGCGGAACCATTCCACTTGTAATTATATGAAGGCGTAGGTTGCGGGTCATGCGCATCGTCAGCACGGTTTCGTCGGCGTTTTCGACTCACGGACGATGTGTTGTAGGATGCATACTCCATAGTTTCGAGCATGTGTCATGCGCCTTTAGACTCGGCGTAAAGAGCGATCAATCGCCACGCCTAGTTTCACCACAAATGCTGCCAAAGGTCAACAGTTCCGTTTCGACTTTGACGCGACGGGTTCCATGTTCGGAAAAATAAACACACGTAGAAACACGACCCATTCGAGATATACACACCGCAGTCGAACGCGATGTGTTGGAGTCTCTTCAGCGAGTGGAGGAAAACCTGGACTTACCTCGATTGTCCGCAGAGCAGCAACTATTTATAAGACTCAAGCACCGCCCTATCCACCGCTGGTGCACATGCCAACCTGTCTGCTCTTCTGGACATAGGTATTGTGACTACCACAAGCATGTCCAGCAGTCTGCAGCAGTGCATGTCCAGCAAAGCTCTACAGATGGCGCCCGCACTTAAAGAACAGCTTATATTGGCCAAGGCTCCATGCTTACTGGCTTCCTCAAAATGAGCACCGGTTCTTTTTCTCAAAGTGCTTATTTCGAGCAGGCATACCCACGTATGATACACGGGGTTCTTGTTTATATTTCTACCCCGAGGGCCCCATCCAGTGGGCATTTTTTGTTTTGGGGTGGATTCAACCTGACACTTGAGAGCAGCGTGTTCATATGCATAAAACAGACTACAATAATAGAACCTCGCTCAACAGCGAGCTCTGGAATCGTTTTACACAGACGCGGTACCGCCGGAATGAATGTCGTATCTGCGCAAACACGTTGAACCAAATGGAGGTCCATAAGGGTCACGTTCGGCGTGATTGTCCTCCCCGCTCTATCTACTAACGCCCGTCGTAGCTACATTGCGACCTTCACCCTGCTCTTCGAATGACGGACCTCATCCATCCCTGCTCTACGGCGCGCTCCCCTCAAGCAAAGCCCACGACCCTACCACCGCACCCGCATCTCCACTGTGCTTGGCCAACGGCATCATGCGGCGCGTACTTTAGTCTACATGTAGCTCGAAATGCACACCGTAGTCGCAAACAGTGGCGGGTACGCTCCTAAGACGGCCTACCGAGTGATTAGCTCACCAAATCAGCCCATCCTCAGTTTTAAGAGTACTCCACGCTGCAGCAACAAACTGTCAAGAGCAGCGGGTTTAGACGCTTGAAATCGAAAATCCGTGGGTGCGACGAAGGAAGAGGTGTCGGAAAGCTTTCGTCGCCCCCGCGTCGACTCGATGGGCGGTTGCCAGCAAGGACATGTTCTTTGATGGCCTCTACGTGTAGATCAAGAATTACACTTCCTTTCAACTTTTGACAGATGGCCGAGCTCTTTCAATTTTTCAAGGGGCATAGACATGGCGCTCGTGCATGGCACGCAGCGTGGCAGGCACCCCAATGACACGCAACGAGGGGTATGCCTCATGCAGCAAAGCTAGAAGCACCTACCCCCCCCCCCCCCCCCCCCCCCCCCCCCCCCCCCCCCCCCCCCCCCCCCCCNCCCCCCCCCCCCCTACCCCCGCACCGACCAGGGTAAACGTGAAAGCAGCTCCGAGTGCGAACAACGGGTTCATGTGGTCATGTGGTTGCGGAATGTCTATTGAACAAGGGGACGAGATTTTGCGTTGCTGAGCCTCGGGACAAGTAGAAGGAAGGTGCAGGGAGACGTTTGAGGCATGGAATACCAGCTAGGAGAGAAGACGTTAGCTGTACTGTACCGGGGCATACAACGTGGTGGGTTGAAGAGGCGGGAAGTGATATCGATATGAGGATAGATAGGCTAGGGAAAACATTTTTGAGACACCTTTTTTGGTACAGAAGGAGGGAACGATTGGCCATCGGTGATCGGTCCTGTGGGGACAATACTCCGTCCTCCCGAGGACGCGTGGTCAATGGTCTAACCACTAAGATATGCAGAACATAAGAG